AATCACGTTGACTATGAGCTACTTAGGATGAAGACATTCGAATAGCGTCAATGTGTCAGAGACGGTGGCGCGTACGCTGCACATCCGTGCGTCTACACGTTTAAACATCGGTGCCAGTATCAGTATCTTTGTGTCTACACTTGTCAGTGCTGATAGCGGTCATGGTGGCTGTGGTGTCAGTGGACAGCCTTGACAATCGTTTCTGTAAACACTCCAAATAAATATGTGAGGTGGATAACCGACGCACAACCTTTAATGTTGCAAAATTTGTAACAGGCGCATCATTCTACTTGTTCAAAGAGAATAAAGGCCAAGCAAGAAGAAGTGAATGTTGATCATATTAAGAAGCCTTTACTGGTAATTTATAAGTGGAAAAAATCCAACCACAAATTTTAATTTTCTTCAAAATATGCAAAAAAGCAGGAAATACACTGTTAGGAAAATACAAAATACCAAAGTCCAATTATTTCTCCTTCTTTGCAGTAGAAATTCCATTCTTAAAAGGGCCATTGGATTGTTCAATTTCCTCCTCCCTTATGTCCTCTAACATCTTGTCTTTTCCAGTTACCAATCGGATGCACATTGAAAGAATATACTAAAAAAAGCAACCAAATAATATTTGAATATGCTAGTCGCACTCATTTTCACATTATTTTTACAAAGTTCATGCGCTTTTACGTCATTTAGATGAGTCTCAAATTGGATGTTACCATGGTAGTCAAGGCGGAAGGGAAATACATGAGGCGGGTTTAATCTCCTCTGCTATTGGTCGAATGAATAGCCAATGGTGCTATCGCTGAAACCAAACTAGTTAATCATCCTTTTCGAGACATTATGAGTACGTTTAAGTGCCAATGCACTTGAGACTCTACATTCTTTGCGTGTGTAGCCTCTCTGATTGCCTTCGTTCCCCAAGATTGGGTGATATTCTCAAAGTTAGGCGTTTACTACGCGACAGTTAAGACAGTGTTGGCGAATTAAGCGGGAGGGTTGATTGCTTCCTAGTTCTTTTGCCATTTTGTGTGAGCGTAATAAACTTTCAAGATACAAATCATCATGCGATTCCATGCAATCCGTAAGAGCTCTCTTATCGATACCTTAGTTTGCTACTTGTGTAATGGGTGGGTGTTGTGGTGAATGTCTTTTGAGGCAGATTGAACGTCATACAACCGAGTGGAATAAACACTTTAAAGGTACTTTATTGCTCTGGAGATATTAAATAGCCAGTATAGCATGTGCTAAATACGAAGCCACTAAAGGTAAGAAGCTTGTAGTAAGATTAATCCAGCTTCCCAAACGCACACTTATAGCGAAGTAGGCAGACTTAACCAAAAAATCCTCCTAATTAGACGCAAACGCTGGATCAAAATCTGTTGTAACTTAAGGATATCAACCTTTGACTAGCAATGGACTAATTTTAAATAAAGTTGCGCCAGGAATAATTGTACCATGAAGGGCAGTTTAAATCGCCAAATATATGCCTGATTTACGTGGTCACAAACGCAAAATTGAGGTGAACTAGCCACATATGTAGTAATTCACCGAGACTTTTGATTGGCCAATCAAATGACTAAAACCATCCTTCCCAAGACAATTAATAAGGTTGGGCAAATCATTTTCAAGATTCCACGACTTTGTAGGTGCACTTACATAGCTCCAAATCAGTTGCATCACAAAGAGGGTCCAAAGAAGGCCGTTGAAGAAGAGGTACATTCGCGGAAGCCAATGATCACGCAGAAGGTAGACGCACCAATTAGTTGCATGGAGGAGTCGTACACAGTAGAGGTAAATCCGAAAGTAGAACCTAGCATTATAAAAGCATGTTTAAAGAAGACCTTAAAGGAAGGGTGAATTGTGAAATGCGCTACTGTAGTTGAAATATGTTAAAATATATGCTAAAATACTCGCAACTTTGATGATTTCTGACGAGGATCGCTAAGCGGAAGCGGTTGGTTCTAGGGTTAAGCAGCTTTTGAACGATTTTCTTGAACATATTACTTTTCACTAATAATATTAAGAAGAATCGAGAGCTGTTCTGTTGTCTACACTTAGGCAATTCGACAGTTTTCAAGCTCTGAATAGAGTGAGGGGAGAGGAGTTCCTTCTTGAAAGGCCTGGACAACTTGAAAGTTGCGTAGTCCAGAGCTCTTCATGGTCATATTAGCTCTCCCATTTCCCTTCCTGAGTAAAACCCTTTCGAGGCCTCGCTGAGGGAGTCACCAACAAACGCAGTACCTTGTTGATGTTGGTTACTCCGGAGGAACCCACAGCTGAAGTACATCAAAAAATTTGGCTACAGGGCAAAGCATACATTACCCAGTGTCTGATTATATGATTATTATTCCTGCAATTCATTTTTTCCAACTACGCGAATACTGCAATGATGACTGATGTGTAAGTGAAAAGGGAGAGAGCAGGCTGCGCAACAAAACCACGTTGGCTTAAAACATGTGCTGTCTATTGAGTCTGCGAATCACCTGCAATGCTAGTTTCATTGTGTCCTAGGCACTTGATCTACACGTCAACAATTAGCCTGCTTCCAGATTGGTATGGCCAATCAACTTCCCAGGAGTATCTAAGTCGCCATACTAACGTGATAGAATGAAACCAGTTAGGATGCTTCATGGCTAAAGGACGACACTGTTGGACCGAATTCATTCAATCATATTACCAGGAGATCGTAAAGAAGAAGAAGATTGCGTTGCAACAGAACTCGCCAAAGGGTCGTTGAATTCCACCTCTATGATTGATATAGAGACAGATCTTTCCCGTCTCCAAAATAGCATCGGAAATATCGTTGAGAAAGAAGATGATGCAACCGTGTTTTAGGTAGCTAAAAGGAAATATAAAAAAGGATGCTTAAGTTCTCCCACAGTTCGCGTTAAATGATGAAGCCAACAGTCGTGGCCCTTGCGGTGCATACAGCAACATGTAACAGACAAATGAACGAGTTAAGGCGAGCGTGTGGCTAGCCAACGAGAACACATTACGACATACGACTCCCCATATTATCTAGTTTACTAGAATTCTGTCGACCATCCCGTATGATTAACCGTTTTCACTTCTACAAAACGGTTCGCTCAACAGGGGACGGTGACGTGAGAAATCCCACTTAAATACACAGGAGATGTGCACTCCTGCCATCAGCTCAGCTGGGGAGTCTTCTCACAGTAATGCAAATTTACCATCACACCATTGCAACCATCATCATCTTCCATTTTTCCTCCTTCATCTTTGCTGCTGCACCACATCATACTCGCTTTTGCATGGCTGATCAAGCTATTTGTTAATCCAGTCTTCCGATCTCAGAATTCTGCTTTAAGGGTCAGTATTTAAGCTTTTTTAAAAATACACTCTGCTACAATTCCACACAAAACGAAATGTTGCAATTAGTCTGGAAAAGAGCTTGCAGCCAGAAACCTTTATCTTCTTCTTGTCCCCTGCTAGTCTAAGTAGGCTATCCGGCATTTGTATGAGGTGAAAATGTATGGGTGGTTGAAGAATACACTATTTTGAGGAGTTGAGAACCAGTTCAAGAAGACTGTTGTCTTCATGCGCCCAGAATGTCTTAGGAGTAACTGTCTTTTCGATAATGATGACGGTTTTCCTATTACTCTATGAATACAAGCTGCGAATTCGTCGCCGATTGCAAAGTCCTTGGAATAGCATTGTAAGTCGAGGTGAAATGTGCCAAAAGGACGCCGAGTTAGATAATGGGCAAGTTGGGGGGGGGGGGGGGAGCTAGACAGTAAAATGAATAAATAACCGCATACCAATGGATAAACATGTACTATTTAGTTGACTGGATAGACAGACATAAACTAAGAGCACGGATATAAGAAATGGCGGACAGATAGAAAAATTCTAACCCAGAGGCCAATTCTATGGTAGTTCCTGCACAATGACCTTCAAGATCAGAATGGACAGACAGAAATGCATGTCTAGTTAGAAAATGGACAGGTTCATAAATAGGTAGATGGAAGGGTGGATAAACAGTGGATAGGTATGGAGGGGCATAGACATACCGTCCCATGTAGGAGAAGTACATCAACGCCAGGGTAACAAAGTGGTGCAACAACATCAGGGTAGAATCCTTCCTCCTTTTGTCCATGTATAACTCCAGGTAGACACCAGAGAGGTAATAACTGAATTGAATCAAGTAGAGACTGAGAATATCTGATGGAATGGGCCGAGTGAAGTAGTTGTCTATAAGGAAAATAACGTTGACGGAGATTAGGGGGTGCTGTCCCCTCTGGAGAAGAAAGGAGCTTCATAAATCGTTTATGCACTGCCGATGCATTAACTGTATGAGAAGGAACAGGACCTACCCAAAACCAACACATAAATTACAATTTCTGTCCTCAATTCTTTACACCTCTCAGACCCCACAGTATTTTTCATAGTAATCACTGTATCCCACACATCTCCTACTCCTCATGCTTCTGTGTCGTTTTGGTCAGCCATGCTCTTGACGCCCTTCTCTGAATTCGGGTAACTCCTGCAGTAGATTAGAGCTACTGCTAATTAACATCTATGAAAAAGGCGAAAAGGTGTGTAAGCGAGAAAACCTTCCAATCCAGAAGCATGCATGCTATTATCCAGTCACTCAGTCGATTATCACTCTCCTTCACTGTAAATGTCATTCACCAGTCGTCAATAGAAAGCAAGCGAAATCAAGAAGTTATGAGGTCGTAGATCCTGGTTAATATCTGCAGTAGGCGAAGTACGGTGTCGAGGATCAATGACTCCTGCAGTGGTGCATTTATGGATGGGGAGTGCATTACAGTTGGTAGTCTACTGCAATCCCTGTTTATGCGTCCCGATGGTAACACACATGTACTGCTTGCCTAGCATTTAGTATTCAGGAGTCAGCGGTTAATGATAAGTAACTAGTCACGATTAGTAACAAGAGGACAAAACTCGTGTGATTTTACTGCCCAACACGACGGCAACATCAAATCCTTCAACTAAAATGCAACTACTAGAGGTGGTCAGGTGAAAAGACATCCCCTAGTCTAAAGTTGGAAAGGCCGAATGAGAAGAAGACGAGGAAGAAGAGAGAGGTTAATTATTCTATATGATGGGTCTCCGCCACGCTTGCACACTGATCTCAAACCAGCTTTCAATGCAAAATGGGTTGCCAGCGTGATTGAGCCATCTCAGAACAGTGAGATGTGCCAGCCAAACGCATAAGGTTTACCTCTTTGTAGTAATGACTTACTTCTTCCACAAACTTCTCCGTTCCATCGATATCCCTACCAGGTAATTGCACCTACCACTCCCACACTCTGACTCGCCTGTAATAAATTTCTTCACATTTGCGGTAGTGCATTGGTTGCCCACCTCACACGTGATGAAGCAGCATCTCACACGTTGATTTTGCATGTTCACAGAAACGGCTGTCGAGGCTGTCCACTGACACCGCAGCCACCACGACCGTCATCATTACTGACAAGTACACAGACAAAGATACTAATACTGGTACAGGTGGTTAGTTGGGCAGATGTGCAGACCCGCGCAATACCGTCTCAGACACATTGACACCATTCGAATGTCTTCATGCTGAGTGGCTCAGAGTCACCACCTCCTGCCTAGATGTAGTGCTGGACAACCTCTGCACTATGATGCATTTTGTGCAGGACTTTAGTGCCTCATTCACATGAGATCTCTGCTACGGCTTGATCAACATACACACACCCGCACTCTAAACTGTCAACATGACT